AGAATACTGACTCTGCGTTAGCAAAACGACTCCCAGTATGGAGGTTTAGATAATACATTAAAGTTAACTTAATGTTACTTATCTAGTGTTGGTTTGCAGGGATCTGATTGGTTACAAGACTGATCACAAGTTGACATCGGTTAAAGAATCATTGAAAAATCAGGAAGTAGTGGACAGCTGCTTCGACCTAGCTTGGGACTTTTCAGCCGTACGCTCCCGCCAGAGTTTGAATCCAGGACCTTCCAGTCATGAGTCAAGCTCGTACATCCCTAATCCACTGAGACCCAATCGAAAGGTTCATGAATTTCAACTTCTGCCATTGCGTGATATATTTATCGCAGCTGCCAGCCCGTGCCAGTGGCGAGTAACTGCCCTCTTACCTGACTTAGTGGACCTCACTAAATACAACTTCTCACTAGAACTCTACATAATTTGATTTGATTTGTGGCGACTAGTAGTGGGATGTAGGATATGCTTTCTGTTCCATTCGGGACTTGTCAACCGGTTGTAACTTCGCCTCACTGAATGACTATTCTCACTGAATATAATGGAGAGTAGTAACAGTGAAATATTCTTTGCCTTAGCAGTTATTTAGATATCAGATTTATGGAAATAATTAGCTGTTTTTCACTGAATGCTTACAGTGTTTTAGCTAAACAATTCAAGGATGTTTCTTTATTTTTGCTTGTTTTGGCTGAATACCTCATACACATCCACATCACACATTTTACGCATAAGAATAAACTCTTATTACCCACATCCTAATTATAAGTATAAATAAATAGTCGCCTGAAGACTGACCATAGCAAGCATATCTTTGAACAATGTGGACAGAACTGAAAGTGTGCTTACAACTCTTGCTTATTTGTGATTATAAATATTACTGAACATTACTGTAACACTTAGATTTGTTCTGTCTTTTTGAAATTTGTCTGACATTTTCCTATAGAAAAAGCTTAGGTAGGGAATCACTCAACTTTTATGTTTTCATCATATAAGTTAGTTTATAATCAAGTAGTTATTGCGTGAAGTTTTAACATTCATAGGCACAAATTCAGTATATCTCTGATATTATACAATCGGCATGTGAGTTAGTCTTGAGACAATGGACAGTTTAGGCGTTCGATCCTAGGTGCTAAATCAAGTTGAACAATATTACAAAGCACTATGATGCACTGTAACCTGATGTCAAAGACTCGAAATAAAGCTCAGAGAGTCGAATCACTCCAAGCCAACCGAATTTCGACTAGCTACTTGGATGGATTGGTTATACATCAGATCATATCTCTTCATCAGTTTCCAAATTGCTTCTCTTTACGGTCCAAACTCCCCTGTCATTTGTTTTATTTCCCCCTCTTCCTATATAATATATATATAGTGTAACTGACATATATTTTACCACGACTTTTATGCTTAAAAGGGCAAGAATTAGGAGGAGTGTATGTTCTATCGTAACCTCAGTTGATGAACTTGTAACACTAAGTGATAGTGTAGATATTCGGATGTATACAAAATTTCTAGTTCATCACATGCAGGCATACTGTACTGCACAGAAGCATAAACTGGTAATGAAATTAGTTTGTCGACAAAAACAAGGCAGGTGATAAGATAAATTGAAAGGTGAAAATAGATAAGAAAAAAAGAACAAGCTGTATCACAGAAAGAAGCAAGCAAAATGTAGTTAAATCTACACAGAATGGAAAAAGGAACTACCCCTTTTTTTCTCAGATCATAAAATTATTTTTCATCTTATAATTTTATTTTTGTTTAATTGTAAAGATCTGTAAATTGTACATACCGCGATGTGCCTGGTTGTTTTTTTATAGCCATTTACGTTCATGTTAGTGTGTTTATGTGAATTTATGCGCTTCTATATTCATTTAGTTTGGTTATCATTTTTCATCTTTGATTTGTGTATGTCTGTTGGAGTTTATTTGGCAGGTTGACTAATAAATGCAGTTTTTATTTCAATAATGTACACTGAATGAAATTTTTTAGTAATGATTGACAGAGGTGAGTAGTAGTATACCAGTCACACCAGTCAGTATTGTCTGCTGACCATATCGAAGTGATCCAAACGTCAGACGGTTGTTCCCCTCGTTTGGGGCTAAGCTCATCAGAGGTGTATTTGGTTCGATTTAACTAAGAGAACTAAGTCAGGTCAAATCACCCGATTTCTAGCTGAGTCAAGCGGGGTACACTGCTGGTAAGCTTGGTCCCAAATGAGCAAAACAGCCATCCGACATAGCACGACCCCTATGTCGTGAATTGGCAGAAGTTAGAATTCATGGACTGGTCACTGGATTGGGTTCCCAGTGGCTTAATGGTATACGAGTTCGCCTTGTAACCAGAAGGTCCTGGGTTCGAATCCCGTGGGTGCGTACTGTGAAGAGTCCCAAACTAGGACGAAACAGCTGTCCAGTTCTCCCTGCAAGTTTTCCAATGGTTCTCTAACCAATGTCAGTTCATGATGAAATTCTGTAACCAATCAAATCCCTACAAACCAACACTTAAATATCTATTCTTTAGTTTATTACAAGACATTACTATACAACACGCTATATACTAATAGCTAGTGTAAGTAGTTGGGAGCTACTCAAAGTAAACATGAGTGCTTATCACTGCTGATTTTGGATGGACTGAGTTCAGATGGTTGAGTCATTCACTTCATGTGTGGAAATCGGTCATAATATTTTCCACACTGGTTATGATATTTGTGTATCGACAACTTTTACTTCACCATTTTTTACGTTCTTTTTTGGAAAAGCAGATAGATTTTGGTGATTTGGAAGCGTGAACTGAATCTGAAAAGAAAATCTCAATCATGGGTGGCTTTAAACCTTGGGCCTCTGGGTTACAAGTTGAACACTCTGGCAAATAAGCTACAAAATTAGCTGGTATTGAGGTTCTGAATTAAAGACTAGCACAGACTAAAAATTTACATAATAATTGTCTTACAGATAGTATTCATTGTAATGTCTTCGGCTAAAATCACATGAACAGACTAGTAGCTGAGGAAGTTTTGGACAACAGAAGAATGGGAGTTGTCAACCGATATAGAAAGCAGGAAATTTAAGAGAAAGAGTTAGGCATTGCAAGGGGCATATTACGAATGGTCCAATGTAAAACTGTTATATTCTGAAAACACTAGCCTAATAAAGAATTCTGTACCACTTTTTACTGTGTTATTTTTCACACTGTTATTACTTTCATCATTATTTCTATTTTCACTGTTATTCAGAATTTATAATTGTGCTTAGATAATCACAACTAATTATTATCATGATCGTTATTTACTCAAATATTTAAGGCCTGGAATAATGATCAGCAATTGATATAATGGCAAGTAAATCAATAAAGACTACTGAATCTCGTAAACAACAACATCATTTGTAGTAATTTGACGTGTTTCGAGGTAGATTTCATCACTAAAGGATATCATTCAGTTAACCAAACAGTATAGGACAACTGTTTCGTCCTAGTTTAGGGCTCTTCATCGGTAAATATACATAACCCAACCAAGAATAGAAACCAAGAAACTTCTAGTTATGAGGCAAGAATGTTACTGTTTTTTTTCATTGGTTCAGAATTCAATGGTTGATGAGTTTTAAATTCTACCATTTCGTGATAACATATAGCACCGCTGCGAACTAATGCCATGGGTGAGTACGCATCCTCGCATCTTACCTACACTTAATTCAGTATAATCCCAGACTATTTTAACTGTTTTGCTGTAGGTTATCACTTTTTTTAAAAATATTCCTTAAATGACCCATGGGAAAAAGAAACAAATAAATGACCAAGGAACTTATAACTATCATTTAACTCCTATCTTTTGATTTATTAATAGTTCAAAAATGTATACTATAGGTAGTTTTGCAATCGTCACTAATTAGCACACATTACTTCAAATATGCTTCATTGTGTCTAATAAATGACCAAGCCTAATGAACACAACAGATATCTGATAGATAGATAGATAGATAGATAGATAGATAGATAGATAGATAGATAGATAGATAGATAGATAGATAGATAGATAGATAGATAGATAGATAGATAGATAGATAGATAGATAGATAGATAGATAGATAGATAGATAGATAGATAGATAGATAGATAGATAGATAGATAGATAGATAGATAGATAGATAGATAGATAGATAGATAGATAGATAGATAGATAGATAGATAGATAGATAGATAGATAGATAGATAGATAGATAGATAGATAGATAGATAGATAGATAGATAGATAGATAGATAGATAGATAGATAGATAGATAGATAGATAGATAGATAGATAGATAGATAGATAGATAGATAGATAGATAGATAGATAGATAGATAGATAGATAGATAGATAGATAGATAGATAGATAGATAGATAGATAGATAGATAGATAGATAGATAGATAGATAGATAGATAGATAGATAGATAGATAGATAGATAGATAGATAGATAGATAGATAGATAGATAGATAGATAGATAGATAGATAGATAGATAGATAGATAGATAGATAGATAGATAGATAGATAGTCTGTTACCAGTTTCTGTCAGACAGCAGATTCATGTATATTATTAAGGCATACGAATGGCTTATAAGTGATGTGAATGGCTTGTAAAATAAATATCTGACTATGATGTAAAGTGACTAACATAAGTCTTCTCAGGCAGAGAGATATGTATAGCTCATCATTGCTAGAAAGTATAAGACTTACGTCAACGAAGATTTCTAAGTGACCTATTCCATTCATTTTTGAAACAAACGAATCACAAGTGAAGCAATGAGTTTGTAAGAAAATGTCAAGCTAAACGGTCTAGTTTTCAGGGATTATTTTTTATCATTTTAATATCTTTGTGAGCAATTGAAATTCTTAATTCTTTGTTCTTAAATCATTATTCCAAGTGGTGATGAAGAAGAAATTAAATTTATTTTTTATCAATTTTAGAATAATAACAGTATTATCGTTCTTAAACTTTCAACTTTTTTTAGCGTACAAATTTCTTATCAAAGTCAAATGGATTAGAGTCATCTTTGTTATATGACCACCTTTTGCCTATAACAAATGATGAAATCAAATCAAGTGAAACTGGCCATCAGCATAACAACTATGAATTGCCTTCATTGTTCTATACAAACCTATCAAATGATATAACAGGATTAAATATTTCCAGTTTATATAACTATGCAGAACAAATTTGGTCACCATCATTATTCTCATCAATAACATCATCATCTTTACCGTCAACAACGGGATTAGGAATAGGAACAAATCACCCGCCAACATTTCATGCATTCAATCAACATTCAACGCCTAATTTATCTTGTACAGGATGTCATGAAAGTATTCATGATAAATTATTCTTGAGTATGGATAATAAATACTGGCATCTAAATTGTTTAAGATGTTTTAAATGCGGTATTACACTACAATGGGAGAAAACATGTTTTGTGAAAAATGATTCAGTTTTTTGTCGAGAACATTATAAAAAGTGAGTTAATACGTCTTTTTTTTGTATACAAAAAAGGAAGTTAATTACAAGATAATTTTATTCATGCGTGTAATTAATATACTGGGTAGGGTATTATTACTACTATTTGTAATATAAATGTTTGGTGTTAAAAAGGATTTTGATAAAGGATAGCTCATATTGACAAGATATACGCTCAAGGACTAGTGAGTAGTAATGAAGTAGTATTTTTTCTTGTACTATTCTAAATATTTTCTTCATTTGCACATATACATGAATTCCCCTTGCTTCAGATTCTAAGTTTGTAAGCATTGAAAGGACCCCACTGAAGTGTAAACGAATTATTTTGAAATCACTCAACTTTTAGAGGTTGTATTGATCATTTTCAAATGATATATAAGCCATGAATTGGACGTTCGTCTAAGTAAGAAGACCGATGGTACCCTGAACAGATCAGTATACAGAAAACCTACATGGAACGGTCAGTTGACAAACTTCTACAGTTGGGTACCAATTAGTCTCAAGCGAAACTTGATAATATCTCTAGCGACTAGAATCCGAAAAATCTGCAGTCCTGAATCAATAGAGGCAGAGATCGCCCTTTTAAGGAAGACACTGCTCGAGAATGGCTACCCGCTCCGTTTTACAGACAAGCATATTAAGCCTAAGACTTACAAAGAACAACCCATTACAGTGCAGCAGAAGATGGTCTACATGAATGTACCCTTCAAAGGTGACCTTCTGGCTGACACCTTGAAGAATTGGATATCTACTGCTCTCAGAAGGACATTCTTCGCTGCCACACTACGACTGACATTTTCCTCCCGGCCATTGTTCTTCAACTACTCTAAAGATAAACTATCGCATTTGACCACTTCCATGCGTATCTACCAATTCACCTGCTCTTGCGGAGCAAGGTATATAGGTCATTCGATGCGAGTTTTATCTAAAAGAGTTCAAGAACACTATCCCGCCTGGCTACGGAAAGGTAACAACGGAGCAATAAGGAGCTCCATTATTGAGCATACACTCAACACTGGTCATTCGATTTGCAAGGAGAAGTCGTTCAAAGTCATCTATAAAGTCAAAAGAAGCCTTCTAAAATCGACAAGCTTCCGTATACTTTGTATTGCCGAAGCCTTAGCGATTTGGATAGAAAAGCCTGATTTATGCACACAGAAGAAACTTCTCCACCCCCTCCTACTACCGTGGGTTTAATTTCAAGTTTATCTGTCATCAACATTTTGTTATCAAATTTTCTTGCAATTTTCGTATTATAATTTTTAGTAACTAACCCATTCAATCTTTTCACCTATTATCTAGTTTATTTTCATAATTGTCTCCATACTCCTTCACTAACACCTAATCTTTCTAAACATGTCTATATTACGTAACCCTACTCACATCTTACCAATCTTCACCCCACTTAGTTACAACTTTGATCATTAATCACACATTTTAATTTCTTTATTATTTTGATGATGTAATCAACAACCCACACTAGCTGTTATTTTGATTTTGACAAACCTAATGTGCACACACACACACACACAAAATTAATTGTATATATTTGTGACTGTACAGCTAAGTGAATGAATTCGCCGAGAAGAGACTCTGAACTAATTTGTTCTTATTTCAATAAATTGTGCTCACAATATCATACAGTAAATAATATTATGTCAGTACTTCCTACATTACATAAGCAAGCTAACATTAAACTATGTATGCTTCGTCACATTGTCCATGTCTTGTTCGTATACAAATAAAAAAATCTAATACTAATCAGGTCACAGTGAAGACTATACTATTCCCAAGTGTAGCATAATGATATGTCAACTTAAAAGACTACAACGTCCGAAAACTGTCAAATAGTTGACTATCGTAGATTAGAAACACTATATTACTACTGTTGGTGAACCATTTCTGATAATTATGATACCATTCACAATTTACATAGTTGTAGATGGAAATTCACCAAAGTTTCCATCAGAAATCAGGAATATTCAGACCATAATATATGATTTCCTTTATACTATAAAACAGAACCAAGAATAGAGGCAAAAGAGAATGATAGAATGTATTACTACTGATGATCTAAGTAAGTAATTTGAAACAACTGAAATCAACTATTGGAACTTGATAAATACTTCAAATTTGTAGGGATTTTTCATCCATCAACCCACTTTCACCTCAGTACTGGTCACAAAAGAGAAAAGAATTAACTATTTGTTTTTTTATAATATTCAACGATACATTGGCTGTATTTCGGGCACATGAATGGAAATTTTCTTTCTCATCTTTATCGTCGCCATCCTAATCATCGTCACCATCTTCGTCCGTTATATACTCATCATCGAATTCGGTGTCATCGTTATCATACTCTGAATTGACTGCTTCCCCAGTGAAGTAAAGTACTGCTCTGAGGATGACACTCTGTCTTAGAAATTGACCAAGTTTTAAATTTGACCCTAGTAACAACTCTGTGTCCTCATCCAAATCATCAGAGAGACTTTCCGCCGGAGGTGAAAAGAAACTGAAGAATGAATCTTCCCGGATACATTCCGTTACAGTTCTTTTATCACCCCAGTTTTTCGTTTTTGAACTTTTTTCGCCAACTTCACAGTTACATTTTTTCCTGGATTCCAGTTTATCACATAGCCTTTATCACGAACAATCTCTGGTCCTTCGTATCCGAAAGGATCATCAGATGGGATTCCATAATTGAAATAATATTGTTTGGTCAAGATATCGTTTGTGAAGTATTTGTTTGGAGAAAAGTATAATTCAAGTGTGAATCCTGCTTCTTCGCCTGTATTGAGAACGCATTTGACGTCCATCAGGTGGTTAAGTATGTGACAGTCATGTTCCTGAACCATTTCATCAGAGAGAGAAATGTTCTGCAGTGTTTTTAGCCAAAAGTTTGGGATCCCCTTGCTTTCTGCTTCAAGGGCTTTATCCTCTGTTTCTTTGGACACTGTGACTTTTTCTTTAACGTTCCCCAACAGACTGTCCACATCTTCATCATCAGATCGCCAGTCACACTCTTCATCATTCGATTCAACAACCCCTGTTACAATACCTCATCTCTTTGAAAATAGTTGCTGGTGCTGAACATCATATTCGGCTTCCAACTCAGAGAATTCCTTATAAAAGGGCGAATCAGTTTCCAGTGTCCCATATTGCAACTTCTTCAGAGCACGAACACGTTGTTTAACCAAAGCAGGTAAAAGATGGTAATCGTGAAGAGCACTTATTCTAGCGTCTTCAGATCTCGATTCATGTAGCTCCTTTGGTGCCGTCCATGTCACGTTACTGGCGTGTTCAGCAATACTTTTAGTCACCATTACACCACAAAATACGCTTTTTAATCCTTCTTACTAGGACATAACTTTCATGAAATTATTCATAGAGTCGTTCTGCAGAATCATTTGATATCAGTTACAGAAAATCTGTCTTCATATCAATAACTTCCCCACAAAAGATGATATGGACTATATTATATGTATGCCGGTTAAAGTAGGATTCTTTAGAAGTATTTGACTGACGAATTCAGTATGTTTTATGTTTCATCCAGCTATACGATGAGTTTTTTCATCATTCATGTTTTCAACTATGAATATTTGTTTGCAATCCCCTAACCTTAAACTGACTGTTAAACAGATTCCGGAGATAGGTTTTGTGTGTCAGTGTACAATATAACCGAGAAACGACAGGTAGGATATTTAAGATATTTAAGTTCAGTAGTCTCTGACTTAGCCTGTTTTTGTTCTGAATTCATAAGTATCTACTCATCTACTGGTCATGTCAGTATTTAATATCGCATCGGTTCACACTACTTCGCTAAGATTCCTTTAATACGCTGTCGATTAGTTATAGACACAATCCCAGCACGCTTGTTGACAAATGATGAAATTATTATTATTATTCCATTGGGTTTCAGTCGGAACATTGGGATACAACTGCATTTCCCATTTCAACATGTCCTCTGTGACCTTTTAAATCTGGTTTTACAAATGCTGACTAGATTTGATCTCTTCGTCGCATGATTTCTTCCATGTTATTCTCAGGTGCTCAACTCGTCGTTTGCTATTCGAGTTCCATTCGAGGGCCCTGCATGTGATGTCACTCAACAGTTTCCTTAGTTTTTGTTCAGTCCATCCCCGCTTCTTCCTGAGTATTTGCTGTGAGAAAGGTTCTTAGTTGGATTTTTGCTAGAATCCTTTGCTGACTACTTATCCTTTCTGGCCATCAGTTCTTCAGTGTGGATTCAAGGAAGGCATCTGTTGATCAAAGACTACAGTAGCTATCCGGATTGCTTTTCGTACTAAGTCTCTGAGTCATATAGAAACACTGAATGACTTGACATTAGTATTGAAAATCCGGATCTTGTTCGTTATACAGATTAATGAAGGTTTGTCTTACTTCTCCTATCCTGAGTGTGGCTTTGATATCCTCATCTGTGCCGCCTTTAATTGAAAAGATGCCTCCTGGATAAGTGAAAGTGGTGATTTTCTTTAGATTTTTCCCCTGCATGGTGATCGATGCACTTGGTATTTTACTGAAGATAAAATTATCCAACTTCCTGTTCGAAAGTCTTACAAAAAGTCAAGAAAATCTGTAGGATTATGGTTTCTGTAAATCACAACTAAAACACTTTCAAAGCGATATGTATATCTGTTATACAGGTTTTATACAGAAACCCACTCGAAATGGGTAGTTGTAATTGTTAAACAAATAAGTGAATTTATGAGTAATAAACTGAATAATTTTCAAAATTAAGTTAGTTGACATTTTATCGAATATGTCAACAACATTTAGAAAATTGTTTTCTCTATCTTTCTGTCTTCAATAGTTTCTTTACGCATAAATCTAAACAGACGCACAAACACAAACACAAAAACACGTATATATATATACCCATACTTTCAAGCACACCCGTCATCATTTGTCCACCTGTATTTCCTGTGGCTAAATTTCTAAAGCTAAATTACTTTAATGTTCAGCTTACCTGTTCTGACAAC